ATGAACTTGATTTCTGCCCGAGCCCCGTCGGATTGCATCGGCTGTGGGGATGAAGACGACAACTCCCATGATTCCACACTCAGTCACGGCGTCATCAAACTACGCCTTTGTCTGTTTGTTTATTTTAAATACGCACCCTCTAGTGGCGAAAATGACATATTGTGCCTTTGAATAATACAGCCTCTGTAACCATAAGGGACTTCTTTCAAAAGCTCCTAATTATCCCAAACTTTTGACCGGTAGTGTATTTGCACAAGCGTAGCACGGCAAAAGATACACATGTATACTCCTGATACAGTAAACTCGCATGCCATATGTTCAATCTATAGCACAGAGCCTCTATGAATTAAATCAGGCCTGCGATCCATCCCCATTGATTAGAATGATGAATTAGGCAGCTGTACTTAGCAACAGTGCTGTCAGCGGGGAGTAGATAATCTCCCCTACAAAACACCTCCATCTTGTTGTGTCTCCACATCAAACAAGCAGTTGCCTTTAAAAGGACAGACGAGGCATAGCGGCCACCTGCCAAAAAACACAAACCCTTCCGTCGCACGCTGGTCTGGGGAGATATTCGTGAGACTTTGATGGCATGTGCCTGGAATCGTAAGATAATTACGTTTGAGCGACTGTCTGAGCGCGTGTGTTAGCGAGTGCAGCTCACAAGTTCTTGTCTTATGATGAAATACCTGCTCACAGGGATACAGTAAACTCACATGCCATATGTTCAATCTATAGCACAGAGCCTTTATGAATTAAATCAGGCCTGCGATCCATCCCCATTGATTAGAATGATGAATTAGGCAGCTGTACTTAGCAACAGTGCTGTCAGCGGGGAGTAGATAATCTCCCCTACAAAACACCTCCATCTTGTGTCTCCACATCAAACAAGCAGGAGGCTCTTTTGCCTTTAAAAGGACAGACGAGGCATAGCAACCACCTGCCAAAAAACACAAACCCTTCCGTCGCACACTGGTCTGGGGAGATATTCGTGAGACTTTGATGGCATGCGCCTGGAATCGTAAGATAATTACGTTTGAGCGACTGTCTGAGCGTGTGTGTTAGCGAGTGTAGCTCACCAACACGTTCTTGTCTTATGATGAAATACCTGCTCACAGGAAGTCAACAGAACTGCATGTGTGAGCCTGTATTTAACTGCTATGTTAATTTTAGTACTTCTATTTTTTGATATACACACACATTCAAGGTGAATAAGAACACACTCTATGCAAGACCTGAATTCAAGCGTTCAATAGACGTAATGTGCATTCTTGCGTTGCTGTTGCGGTAACAAACCTCAGTGCTAAGGGGGACTATAACGTTAACTTTAAATTGAGTTTTTGTAGTAAGAAGTGTTTTAGACCTCATACCTAAGCAGACAATGCTTTGGCCGTTTAATATATTCCATGTTAATCAAGTTAGTTCTTACCAGCTGCAATCACAACAAGCAACAAGCGAGTATCTATTTCTGTTGTGAACGTAGTGAAATCTATAGATGCCTGTTTTCGCCTCAGAGTAAAAAATAATTATCAAAATTCTGACTAATTTTATAAATAATAATAATAAATGTATAAGGATTTTAAAATAATGTTATTATATTTTTTGATAACTTTTACTTTTTTTAAACTCTAAGGAGGAAACAAGCTTTTAAAAAACTTTTTTAAATGATTTATTTAGCATAAAAATTAAACTGCATCATATGCTTTGAAATGGAAAAAATTGCAAATAGTAGGAGAGAAACTATTCATCACTCTTCCTGTCTGGACATATTTCACATTGAAAAACAAATCTAATTTTTCATAATGGGTTTATGTGACATTTGCTGCAAGTTTTATTATTTAAATTGATTTAAATTAAAAGTTAAAAGGTTGCTGTTAATAAATGATAAACAAAACTAGAAGTATGACAATTTGCAGTTTAGGTCTATTAAATGTTATAAATAATGGCTTTCAAATCTAAAATGATAATACAATGCTAAATGCCTATAATTAATCATTTAATACTCAAATTGCAAATTTGTTGCTGCTACAGGCTTTGGTTTTGATAATGACAATACAAGCATTGGCAGTACTTGCTATTTTCACTCAAATTGTTGCTAATAATATAATTTGCAAAGACAAATATAATTTAAATACATAATATTTAAATATAATATAATAAGTATATTAAATATAAATAAAATATTTAATATATTAAAGACAGAGTTTTCACTATCTGAAGGTCTTGAGTGTGTCAGTTTGAGATCATGTATGTGGACAAATTCAGCTTGAGTTTTTGCGGCTGTGGTGCCGAACACAGCTGCTGATTTCTCAACAAGACCAAACGAAAGGTTAAAAAGCAGCTACTGAAGCAGTGTTAATTTCGTTGACAAATTATTTTCGTCATAATTTTCGTCAACAACATTTTCTCACTGACGAAAACGAGACGATAACTAAATAAAAAACAGATTTTAATGACAAAAACTAAAACGAAAATATACTTTCGTTTTCGTCAACGAATAAAAACGAGACGAAAATGTTAGGGAAGGACGATTTGGGAAGATATCATCCAGTCAGACTCAGTCAGGACTGATGTCTCTGTGGTAGTTACTGTAGGAAACTTTTTCCTCGTCGAAGCAGAGACCAGGAGACGTTGGGATATCTTTCATACAGAAGTCACTCTTTATTGAGGACTCGCTGTGCGTCGCTGCAGTCATCCAAGTCTGACTATAGCTCAGCACAGTAGAGTTTATATACATTTTAAGGGGGCGGGATTCATTCAGTAGAGGTGGCGACAATCTAAACAAAGCATGCAAATGCAATACAGGAATCAGCCCGTTACCGGAATTTCTCCAGGCCTGATCTCATCACCATAACAGTGTCATTCAAATGCATAGGTGCTAATCCAATCAGCATAACTACTCAAAGACTGGGGCGGAGGCACCAAGAGCCATTACAAACAAAAGGTGACTTTCTCAGTAATTTGGTTAATTTGACTAACAATAAGAGAAACCGGAACAGACAGGAACCTCTTGCTACACTTTGTTTAAGATAATCATTTGTCTGATGTAATTTACCTTAAATGCTAAATACAATGTACTTCACCTTAGTTTTTCATGTGATGCTATGTCAGAATATAGTATCAGCATATTTTAAACAGATTCTTAAATTTGTAATCCAACATTACGTACATACACCGTCCCTGATCTGACCGCGGGAAAACACGGCGCTGTTGCGCGCTCTACAGGCTCGCGCAGCAGCGCTTCAGACGTCTTCAGCGCGGGTTGTAATCAATGAATAGCGCACATTTATGCCAAGCGATTGCTTATGAATTAATGTTGATGAATTATGACAATGTTTACTATACGATGTTTATATGGTGATATGTTTTAGACGGTTGTAAGAATACATATTTTATTTCCCTCATCTGAACTTGAATGAGCAGCCTGCAGCTGTACAGTCAACAGTGCAAACATTTCAAAATAAGAGTCACTGTGTATTTCATGCTTTTTTTCCTGGTCATTATTGATATTTTGGGTACATAAACTGTAATTAGTTTAATTTAATATAATTTACATTTAATTTACAACTATTGTAGGTTCTGTCTGGGATTCCCCATCACAGGATGGACAGACTAAGAACATTATTCAAAATATTATTTAATAAATACATTTTACTAGTATCAGGTTTTTATAGTTAAAACTAAAACCATAAAAATATTCTTCATTAATTGAAATAAAATAAATGTTAACTGAAATTATAAAACAATAAAAATCTATAAAAAAGGAAATAAAAACGTATTTTGTTTCAGTTAAACTTTAGCTTAACCTGATGTACTAAAATAACCAGAACAGAAAAAAAAAAAAAAAATGATGCATTACAATTTAACTAAACCCTTTAGACTTAGTCGACTAAAATTGTATGATATTTAGTCGACTAAAACTAGACTAAAACTAAAACAATTCAGATGACTTAAAATATGACTAAAACTAAATGGCATTTTCGTCAAAAGACTATAACTAAAACTAAATCAAAATTTGCTGTCAAAATTAACACTGTACTGAAAAAAGCTAAACAGATGGGTCCAGAGGCAGGAAACAGCCCATCTAAATCTGGAAACAACACTAAGTTCCTCTTCTCTCCAGGTGATTGGTCAGTGAGAGCCCTATTGAGGGGCAGGTGAAAATATGAGGGTTGAGGGTGATGGAGGAGACGCACCTCACAGCTTTTCTCTGTGTTTCTTTTCCAGTGTTTTTTCTCCATTTTCTTCGTCGCAGTAGAGAGGAGCACAGCGTGAGTCTGGACCCGAGGGTTCAAGGCCAGGATACTCTGAATAGATAGAGAAAGAGAGAGAGAAATAGTCAAGGTGCTTAGTCAAGGTAGTTTCATATTATGCATAACTTGCAATGCACAACGGCTATTGCTTTTGTGTGTGGGTGTGAGTGAGTGAGTGAGTGAGACTGAGCACTCCCACTCACATTCTTGTTCTTGAACAAATGTGATTCTCGGCAAGGACATTTCCAGCACTCTGGGAAAATAGCACGCTTTAAGTTTCACAGCTGAACAATTAAGAGAGTTCTGAGGACAAATCAAAAGCATGCCAACAGGCTGTCTTTAAAAAATCAAGAGTGTGTTTAGCAGATGCTTGTCATTCCTAAACTAACGTGCCGCAGCATCGTTTCACACTGGAGAGATGCAGACAGCTGACCTTCAAACTCATTCACTTTCAAAATATGCAGTTCTTCTGCAAAAACACGCACAAGCATTCAGACAATGTCAGCTTCGCACGCAGCTACCGGGTATGTAACATCACAAACAGAGATTTGAGAGAATTTTAAGAGGGTTATTAGTGGTGACTGCGAGGCAGAATCACTATTACAATTAGAATTAGTGATCTGAAAAACCCTTAACCCTCAGAATCAAACTTCTATGTATGATGTATTTATGTATTATGTGTTAAACTTGCACTCGTGTACAGTATGTGGTATTTCACATAACAGACAATAAACCTGTAGGAAGAAAAAAAATGCACTTTTGCAGGACAGGCCTGAAGGAGGGTCCGGAATCACTCAGAATATCTTAGATACCAAAAAGCTGTAAAAACTAACCCAAACACCCTAGCAAACATGTTTAAAGGGGTCATCCGATGCTACATGCACTTTTACAAGTTGTTTGAACTGAAATGTGTGTTGGCAGTGTGTGTACACAACCACCCTATAATGATAAAAATCCACATAGTGGTTTTAATCTACTAAAATCTTTACCCTTTCTCAAATCGAGCCGATCTCAGATGCCTGTCTGTGTGACGTCACAAAAGGCACCTCCAATGATAGTTTGATTGACAGTGGCGTTTCAGCACAGACTGGACTGGCGTCTTACGAAGGTTTTTAGAAGGCTTCTGATACAGACGGTTTTTTAATGAATCTTTGCAAATCGCCTTTCCTAATAATGTGCTAATTAGCAAGTTTCACAATGAATGCGGCTAAAGTAAACGGTCCCTCAGAGAGCAGCTTGGAAGAGAGGGGCGGGGGTAGCAGAGCTCATTAACAGACTGCGCTTGTCGGAAGGAGGGACTTTGTAGAAAACGAAGCGTTTGAGAGAGGCGGGGCATAGAGGACCTACAATAATGTACAGTATTTGAAAAATAATGTGTTTTTTGAACATTAAAGCATGTCAACATATTCTGTTACACCAAATACACAAAATAATGATCTTTTAAAAAGCATCATATGACCCCTTTAAAACAAATCCGAATGTATTAGCAACTCTACTTCAACATCCACATCACCCTAACAACCTCACAGTAACACATTAAAACTATTCAGAACCTGGCAACATGCTAAAAACACTTGTTAAAAAACACCCTGGCAACAACCTAACATTACCCAAGCTCAACCCTCTTCAAACTGCATAGCACACCATAGCAACCACCTATCAACATCCTCACAACATGTTAAATAATCACTCAGAACACATTGGCTACATTCACATTGGCCAACTTTAAACAGCAGGTTGTCTGTCATAGTGTTACGAATCCTGTCCATGGACTTCCGTCCGATTGCCACGAGAGGTCACTCGTCCATCATATTGACTCTCTCACTACACAGACTGTTACATGTCACCACAGACTACATTTCCCATCATCCATTGCACTGATTGCACACAGCTGTAACCAATCACACACACACTATATTACACTCACTCAGACTCACTCAAACTGCCGAGTATTGTTTAGCGTTTATCACTCACCCAGCGATAGCTACTCTACGGAGCCAGTTCTTGTTTTCCTAGTTTAGTCGGTCTCGCCTTGCCTGTTTTCAGATTCTTGCCTGTGTTTTCGATTTACCCTTTTGTCTTGCTGTTTTGGACTCTGTTTGCCCCTGCCTGGACTATTGCTATTAACCTTAATTATCTCTTGCCTTGCCCTGTTGGATTACGTTCTCCGTCGATTGACCCTTGCCTGTTTCTTGGACTATCTTGTGTCTTGCCCGTACCATACCCATTTGCTGGTGTTCGACCCTGCCTGTGTTTTGACCATGTTTATTAATAAAAGCTTGCAAATGGTTCCACACATCTCTAGTCCCTGTCGCCCCGTAACAAATAGCATGTCAATCATGGGTTTTGGGTTTTCATGTGTGGTTTCGCTAACTTACAGCAATGCCCTAGTAACCACCTAGCAACTGCATAGCAACATAATTAACAAATGTTTAGAACATTTTATTACCATAGGAACGTATTGGAACTACCCACAGCATCCTAGCAACACTCTAGCAACTGCATAGCAACACATTAAAAAATATTTAGAACATTTTAGTCACCATATAGCAATGTTGAATCTAACCTCAGTACCCTAGCAACTAGGGGTGGAATGGTTCAACTTACTCACGGTTCGGTTTGTATCACGGTTTTAGAGTCACGGTTTCGGTATGGTTCGGTATGTGCTATGTTTAGGGGAAAACTATACTGTCAAATAAAAATAAAGAAAATAAGAATAATCTATCTAACTATAAGCAACAGCACAAATAAATACAATAGTTTAAAGAAACAAATAAAATAAACAGTGATTTTAAGGGAGTTTTTTTTTACATTTTTTTTTTTGTTTTTTCTACCATTAGTTTTTAGGTACAGAAATTGAATAAAGTAATAAAATGTAAAACAGCATTGCATATTTCACTGTATAAATTAAAGATGAATCTTTATTAAAGTTACAAAAGCTATTCAATCAAGAGCAGTGAGTGAATTCTTTGTTGTTGCTGTTTGATTAATATTAAGTGCTGTCACTTTAAGAGAATGCACTGATCCAGAGCACTGATACAGTACGTTTAGCCGGCTATGTCTGCTATAGGATACTTACCAAGACGGGCATTTTGACATGATTTGTGTGTGAATTTGTCCTTCAGCACCCGGGTGATGACGGAATAAATGACTGCTCATATTCCTGCATACGCCATTCGCATTGAACAAGAGAGAATGGTTTGTCCACGTTTTTTTTTTTTTCCATCGCTGTTGTTGTAATGTATTGGGAAGCCAGAATCAGAAACAACATTTCTGCAATTACCCACAGCACCCTAGCAACCACATAGCAACACATTAAACCCATTTAGATCACTTTACTCACCATATAACAATGGTACTGCAATTACCCACAGCACACTAGCAACCACATAGCAACTGCATAACAACACATTAAACCCATTAAGAACACTTTACTCACCATATAACAATGGTACTGCAATTACCCACAGCACACTAGCAACCACATAGCAACTGCATAACAACACATTAAACCCATTAAGAACACTTTACTCACCATATAACAATGGTACTGCAATTACCCACAGCACCCTAGCAACCACATAGTAACCACATAGCAACACATTAAAACATTTAGAACACTTTACTCACCATTTAACAACGTTATTGAAATTACGCAAAGCACCCTAGCAAACACATAGCAACACATTAAAACCATTTAAAACACTTTACTCACCAAATAACAATGGTACTGCAATTACCCACAGCACCCTAGCAAACTCATAGCAACCGCATAGCAACACATTAAAACCCCTTAGAACACTTTACTCACCATATAACTACGTTACAGCAATTACCCACAGCACACTAGCAACCACATAGTAACACATTAAAACCATTTGCAACACTTTACTCGCCATATAACAAAGCTATTTAAATTACTGAAATTTTCCTACTACGTACAGGAATTTCAACTCAACAAATGGCGTTACAAAACTGTTCGTGGCACATGAGAAAAAAGTCAGACAATAATGTAAATATGATTTTTTTTTCTCTTTCTTTCCTGTAGATGACAGGTGTAGTTGAGGCTCTCAGAATGGCCGGGGTCTACCTGAGGCCACTTCCCTTTAATCAAAGCTGAGTGTCTCTCTGAGCCCCCTCTCCAGCACCTCCCCTCTCATCCTGACAACAGAGACACAGGCTCACACCTCTCCATTACAATCAGGACTGACCCACTCGGTGCCAGAGACCAAGTGCTCCTGCAGGCTAGCGGCCAAACCAGTCCCGTCTCGGTTCAACACATTCATTCAGATGCCTGTACGAAAACACAGCCTTTGTGATTTTTGATTGAAAGAGCAGAGTTTGAAGCCTTTGTAAAAGAGATGACAAGCGATCTTGAATTATATACATTTATAATGCACCAAGCTGCTAGGCAATAGGGCCTTTCGCACCGCTTTAGTTCCAGAACTAAATGTACAGTACTAAAGTACTGGGACGATTTTGCGCGAACTATTTCCCAGTACCATTTAAAGGGTTGCATTCGCACCGACAGTGTGTACTAAGAAGTGACGTAAGCCGGTCGACAGCGTCGTCATTTGTGCACGGCATTCAACAACAGAAACAAAAAAGAACAACATTAACAGGAGGATAGAGGACGCTGTGATCGGAGCTGTTTTTGTTGTGTCTCGCAGGTTTCACAATAATGGACATGGAAAGTCGACGTATACGTAAAGCGATTGAAAGAACGGAAAGGAGGACTAAGAATCTCCAACGACAACTGGCAGTGCTACATTTGCTACAAGTGCCTGCACTTCAGTGTCCGTCCATCTATCGCTGTTCTCCATACTTGCGAAATAAGTTGACACAATGTTTACAGTATGTTTACACGGCGTTTTAAATCACGGCGGGTGAGGGCGTTTTCGTACGCGTTTGGCCAATCATTGTCTACTTACGTCATGATTAGTACCAGTTGTGCTGGTTAGACCCTGCTCCGGAGTAGGAGCTAATTTGGTTCTCGAAAAAGGCAGTCCGGTACAAAAATTGCACCCAGTTCCGACGGTGCGAAAACGCCCAAA